CGCTAGCCTTGGCATTTTAAAACCACTTATCACCGGAGCTCTACATTCAAACCATGTATGCCTTGGGTATGCTGTCTTCCCACACTATAGATGCAGAACTTAAAATTATTCGATCAGAAATTAATGCCCAACGATCCACTAACTTTCTGAAAAAAAACAGGCTATGGTTTGGCATCAACTATCGCCAAGAAACAATAAGTACCAGTACGTCGCTGGACCGTCTTTGCAGCCTATGATCTTATGCCCGTGTGGCCACAGAATTACCACTGGTTTTTTATGGCCACCTACCTCCATTTTCTGCGATTTTTGACCCGCTGCTCTTATACCGCAAGCGAACCGGCCTGTTACCTGGCTGCCTTTTCATGATCTCCACCCCCCCATGCCGTTTCAGTAAGCTAATAGGTCGTTGTGCGCCTCTCTTACAGGTGGCGAGGCGCACTGGTGAACCTCACCTTCATTGAGTGCTAAGGAGCCGCCTGGTGCAGTTCACATGTGAACCAGCTGCACCTGGTGCGAACGCCTGCTGGGCCCAGATTTTGGTCAGAGTTGTGTTTAGTTAAATAAGGGCAGTATTAACCCGCAAAAAAAACTAGATCAATCTACCTGCACTTTTTCTCGTCGTCCTCTTTCTCCGCACTTTTATGTAGGGCATGTGATAGCTACAAGGACAAGGTGGGCTAAAATAAACCCCAAATAATAGCCATATACTCTGTCGTCTCCATTCTACTGACGAGCATGTTGTACGCTACTAACTTTCGCGTTTCTGCCCTATTTTCTGAGGATCGTATTTTACTTTGCCGTCAACGGCCGAAATCTCGATATGTGTTTTCTACTAGGAAATATTACTTAACTGGGACTGTAACATGGCTAAGTGATCAGTCACGATAAAAATAATAAATCCATAGGAAAATTTTATGAACACCTTATGCTACCATCTTGCCGTTGTAGAAGGTATTATTTTCCTTGCATGCCAACTTGTTTATTTAAACCTCCTTACGGTGTGTACGTCTTTAAGACTATCCCACATGCGATAACCCACCTATCTGCTGGATTCAGTTTGTGGTCCATCTCCGCCATACTCGAACATATGTTTGCGTCTTCAGTTCCAGCTGCTGGTCTGGCTTATTTTTGGCTAATGGAAGGCAGAATATTTATGAAACAGGCTGTATCAATCTACCTGCACTTTCTGTCGTCCCTCCTTTCCGAAGATGTATATACACAGTAGATGCCCAAACTCAAGAAAATCACTGTTACGCAAAAGCAGGCCAAGCTGCGCTCCCAAAGTCTTACAGCAGAAAATAAACAGTTCCTCTTGAAACAAAAGTAAAATATGTTGCGTTTAATCAAGTAATAGAACGTTATTTAAAAACACTAGGTCGTTTAGAAAAAGGGAAAAGCCAAAAAAGTGAGAAATCCGAGTTAGTAAGTGAACTTTAGTTTTAAATGTCAAGAAAGCCTGTTCATGCCAAAAAATGAGTGCATAAAGCAGTAGAAGTGGAATACCGCTTGCAAGTTTTGGATACATTCATTTCCATATTATGCGCAATTTAAAGTACGACTGTTACCAAACAGCCAAAATTTTGAACATGGGTTCCAACATGGTTTGAAGTGAATTTCCACATGTTTCTTCGTATTATACATTGTTTGAAATACGTTGGGCTAAGGCAACCAGATTTTCACTTGATTGCGCTGATTGAAACGTCAGAGGAGTAAAATACTTTGTAGGGTCACGCGTGGACACGCCTGTGAAAGACTTATCTATTTATGTGGAACTGTCCTGAACAATCGTAAAAATATCATTTTTATACATTTAGGGGGAACTTTCTTCTGTCATTTTTCTGTGTGCTTCTTTCTGATATTCGATTACGATGAGGTTCAGCTTGTTCGTAACATAGTGTTGAACACTTTATAATTTTCATTGTTTTCAGTCGACTGTTCATAAATACAGATTCCGGTCTACTTCTTTACGAAAACCTTTTTATAAAGATATTCTTTAAAAATATTTACCTAAATAGTGATTTTTTGAACATTCTTTCTCATGCACCTGTCTGATTGGATCGTGGTTTAAGAAGCACCCAAACACGTCAACACATTTTCGTGAAGAATGAACGTCCGCAAAAAAGTCACAAATTGATATGCCTAAGGCTATTGAAAACTTTACATTATAAGGTATATTTTGAAAGGCGCTTGAGTAAGATAGTTCAACGTCGAATATTTGCGTTATTTACTTTTTTCAAAGGCTGAACTCAAGATAAAAATGGTAAAAAGTGGCCGCGTTTTTAATCATGAGGGATTAATTAAGTAGAGCTGTAAACTGAACAAGTGTCCAGCGTTATCCCATAGTACTTCGGACACGATAACATAACGGCTTTTGTATGTGGTTCTACTCGGCTACCTGCAGGAGTCGTAATTGGTAACAAAAAATTACTACTCAGGTTGTACAAAGGGTGGCTATCGATATCTGATATCCTTTTAAATAAAAGCAGATTTTGTAGAAAATGTGTACAAATTATATCTCTGCTGGTACTCATTTAAGAGCTGCGCACGTATACTTCACGCATAAGAAGAGACGGTTTTCGATTTTGCAAAAACTAATAATGCTGCACTTTAAAGACCGTGTAAAGTCCAACCAAATATCCCAATGTTTGTCTCTTTACTAATGCTCCCCATAAAGTAAACCACATTAAATACAAAGATACCAAAGTTTTATGAACACTCCATGGTACTGTCCTAATGCTGTAAAAACATTTGTTGTTTGTCCTTACGCACAAAGCATACAGCTACTGCACTAAAAAACCGAACGGCAAATACAACGACAGCTGAGGCCTAAAAAATACTCGGGAATTGAAAAGTGTGTCAACATTTAGTACGGCATCCTTTCAGTATACATTTAAGGAATGTATAGATTGCTACCAATCTGGTACCAAAGCGAAGAAAGGAAATCGAAAGTCAACATATAACCAAAATAGATTGGACAAGTTGTCACTTGTGTCGACCGAAAGGAAATGCCTTCAGAGGCCAGCGTCATGGGATAATCCCGTACTACTTTCGATGCGATAAGTAGAAAATCCTTCCTAACCAAAAAATTTTGGTTATAAGTTTACGAGACCGGTCAGTGACGGTAACTTCAACTAGATGTTTTTATTACACAAAGAAAAATTGGCTCATAGTTTGGGGGGCGTAAAGGAGTTATTCCACCGACGAGGACCCCCAAAAATAAACAGAAAGGTTGTTTTCAGCCGCCGTGTTCAGACTCACCCTCTGATAGAGACTGGCATTGAGGTGTTCGCAGGTGAAGGGACACAGCAACTTGACGTTCCGTTGTGCCTGACAGTTGGGATTGCTTACAACCACCGTCTTGCAGCGTCGAACATGCACTCCTTTCACATGACCGAGCTGTAGCAGCAGATTGCCCGAGGGAGACACGTCAATTTTATTGTCAATCTCCAGCAGGGTAGACACCAGAGAGATGAAGCCCTTCCACGTCAGCCGGCTAATCTCCAGTTTAGCGACAGCTGAGCATCGGCGTGGGGGGAAAGGGCGGCAAGGAAGAGGTTAAACCATGCGAAATTAGTGCTTTAGACGTGATTTGTTAGATAAGAGGCGAACAGTAACTTCCATATCCCCATGAACTGTCACCCAAATTTCTGAAAAGATTTTTGCATTCAAACGTATTAATCAAGCATGGCTGGATTCATGTGTGATGTGCAGCGCATACTCAATATATTTCGATCAAGTCAGGATGCCGGGATTTAAACGAGCTTCTTTCTGAAGAAAAAAGAAGACGTGATCGTCGAGACAAATATTTTTTTCTACTGACGTTTTGAAATCCGTCATGGATCCTTCATCAGAGACAACAACAGAAACGGGTACTTAATACCCAGGAAGTTGCAGTATCTATAGGGTACGGTTACTATCCTACTGCACACATATGGCCATTAATAACTCCCTATCTTAAAATTTAGATAAATTTTATATAAAAAATACATCAAATATGCTTTCTTGTACTCCTTTGGTAGAAACGTGCAACTTCTTCAAATTGTATACTTTAAGGAAGGGTATCATTCGGTTTCAAAAAGGTTTCTTATCATGCGATTTTTTACCACCATGAACTGTACATACCTGGATCAACGTATCCATTCATTTATTAGTGCTGCCTACAAACAGTAAAACTTGGTTCACATCTATAGCAAACTGTTATGCGAACTATAGGATTTCTCCCGCTCACCGTAGGGAAATATTGAATTACACTAGGGTAGAATTTCTACAGTATTTAGTTTGGAGATCTTGAATTCATCACTCATGGTGGGTAGGGTTAACCATTTTTCGGCAATTTAGAAACTTTTTAATCCCAAAGATATCCTTAGTTCAAGTAAAACATTTCAAGAATGAGTACTTTGCTACCGAACAAGTATAAGAACGAATATATTGTACCTTATTTTATAGAAGTTATTTGAAAATCAATGAGACAAAGGCATACTAGCTTAGTATCCATTTTTTACAGAGTATATTTTTTGCAGGTCCGTAAGGTGCTCGTTTAAAAGTTGGCAATCTTGGGCGACTAAAATATTTTGAGATTAGGACACACGAGCCTGCTTAAGCAATTTTTTGCAGTCCAATACACTTTTCCAGAATTTCGGTTAATGCTTCATGAGATAGGAAATTTACTGCACATTTGCACCATTAGCCTGTTTATATATACATATAAAGAAAAATGAAAAGAGAGAATTGGTTAGATTTGCATGGGCACAGATCTCACCTCGTAATGACCTATCATATTGTGGAGAAATCTTGTCACTATTAAAGACATAGTTGAAGTTTGACCACAGGAGTAGCCTTACAATAAACTCTTAACTTGTGAATGTCCAAAGCTTATCATTGACATCAAACTTAACCTCTAATCCCAGCCATTAATTCAACTCCAAAATGCATCACTCTTAGTCACAGCCAAAACTCTATTCAATACCTATAATACACTGGCGTTAAACAGAACCGTAACAGCTGTGATAACAACTGATGGAAATGTATCGGGAAATGAACAAAACGGGCAGGTTTCCAGTACAAATACTCAAATGACATAAGTAGACAGTTCCTGTAAACAACTAGGTGAGACCACAGGTACGATCGATGCACTTGGATGTGTAGCCTAATAGTAAAACTTCTTTATGAGAACTTTGAACAGTTTTGAATGAAAACTAATAAGTGTTATAATCGAGTTTTTTTTTGTCCATACCCAATGGAAACATTAAGTCGGTGGTAAAGACACTGTTTGTCTTAAAGAAAAATTGTGGTCAAGGGACGATTAAACCAAAGCGAGTAAATTGGTAAAGTATACTGCACCATTTCCTCTAGATAGATTTTGAAAAAACATAGAAATAACGTACAGGAAGATGACAAACGAAATCGTGTCGATTAAGAAAACGATAAAAATATTTAACATTGCTGTATCTGTCGCTCATACGTCCGGGGGCAGAAGGTCATAGCCACTGCATATTAATCTTGTAGAAACATTTGCGGTGAATGAGCTGGAATAAATCACAAAAAGGCTTATGGTGGTATTTAAATGCATCGCAAGACAACTGCCACCAGGTGTGTACATTTTTCTTAGTTGAAAATCTCAGTCAAGAGTTAGGCAAAACTTTTTTTCTAAATATCAAATCATATCTGCAAGAAGAACCTATCTTACGGTCGTTCTTCTGCATATTTGGGGCTAGGTGGGGTGACTTAATAATAGAGACTACGGCATTTGACGATGGCAGCACCAGGTAGGTCACATGATCACACGGTTCTCCGTTTCTCCACCCAATTGCTGCGGTTTCAGTAGAATACGGAAATTGCCCAGTCGTCGCCCGAAGTACAGTAGTCGCCACAGACCATGTAATTTTCATAATTTGTATAAGTTTGATCATTACTTGAATACTAATGTGAATGCGTTTAGGAAGATTTAGAAATAATAATGAACTGCA